AAGGAATGTTTTCTGTTTGAAGACTGTATTCATTTTTTCGAAGGGGTCTTCTACTATATAGATGATATCATCCGCGTAGGCGCATAGTTTATATGACTCCTTTCTTATTCTCGTACCCACTAAATTTTTGTCCGTTCTTATGTCGATTATTAGGGTTTCCAACGCCATAATAAACAGCAATGGGGAGAGGGGGCAACCCTGCCTGGTCCCTCTCTCTATGTAAATGCTTTCCGTCATCTGCCCGTTTACCATTATCTTAGCTTCCTGCTTGTCGTAGATTGATCTACAATTTACCCCTTATTTACCAACCCCGCACTTTTGACTGCGGATCTCCCCCCCCCCCCCCCCCCCCCCCCCAGCTCCTTCTTGATCCACTTACGTTGTTATCAAAACCTTAATTTTAAAAAAGAAGACTGTATTCATAGGCTGCATGACTGGGTGGCAGTCTGGGGCCCTTTCCAACCCAGGAGTATACTGCTATGATTCCACTTTAGCTGCATCCTATGGAATCTTCCTGTGTTTGTTTGTTTGGTCAGTGGCCCTAGAAGAGATTCCTGGCTGAGAATCCTAAAGAAGATCCCTGCTTAAACAACCAACTCCAGGATTCCATAGGATGCAGATGTGGCATTTAATATTGAATCACTCTACCATAATCATTTGGTGTGATAGGGCCACTGGCCAGTCCAGAAGAGACAGCAGCCAAGTGGATTAGGCTGCACTGAATATCATACAGTCAGCTCTCCACATTCGTTGGGGTTAGTCCCAGTCTCTCCCTTCATCCCAAGCTTAATTCAGTTGCTACAAACTGAAGTCCCAAATGGAAAAGTATTTTGTCTTCAATTGACTCAGAGGATAGAGAGAAGAAGAGGGAGTTTTTAAATTTTATGTATTTATGCTATTTCTACCCCACCCATATCAGCCCGAAGGCAACTCAAGGCGGCGTACAAGTCGGCACAATTTGATGCGATATATAAAAAATACATACATTAATAAGAGTAGAAAAAAATCACAATGCATTTAAAACCATGAAAACAATAAACAGTAAAAAATTTAAAAACTATGTCTTCGTGTTCAGTCCTCATCCATTCCATCGTCTTAGCCATTCCTAGATCACTTTCCGATTCAAGTTTGTCTGATTATGCTGAGGTTCCGAATGCTTGCTCAAAGAGTTGACTATTTAACTTCCCAGTAAGTTCAGGAAAAAAGCAAACAGCTGAAGCCTCTACTGCAAAATTAAAATCACACGTAGTTTACGTTTTACCAGTCCACACACTGTCTTGCCAGGGAAAGAAAATCTGCCACGTAAATGATCAATGAAGAACAAGGAGTTTACTCTTTGTAATGCAGAGCCACATATATACAGTCAGGTCAACAAGATCTTCCAGCAGCTCATGAACACAACAATGTCCTTTGAGAGAGATCCAAGCGGTATTTGAGTGTCCATGTGGAAGATCTTCCAGCAGCTCATGAACACAAACTGTCTCTGCAAGATATTGCACAGCTAAAGCTTAAATATGTAACTGTTGTCAAAACTCCTAGACTCAGCTAGTTTCTTGAGCATTTTCAGTTAACACACTCACCAACTGATTTTTTTTTTTTACATGCCCTAACAGCCTCTCCTAGCTTTGTGTGTTCTTCATCAATAATAACTTTTGTCATCTGATGTTGCTTGGCCACATGTTTGCCGTTTTTGTCTGTGAAATATTGAATGGTATGTAATTCTAGAAAGCACGCTGGGCTTCATAAAAGAAATGCAGAAGACAAACTGTATCACAGTACTTAATTGTTAAAGTGAACATGAGTTTCCAATGAAGAGGGAGCTTGTCCTCATTCACTCTGCAACCAAAGAACATCATATATTTTATAGACCTTGACTCCAAGAAAATGTTTTTGGACATCTGGGAAACTTACATGAATGTACACACAGACCACATTCACTTTTTATGTGCTTCCTCTCATTTTTCCCCCTTTGGTTTTCTATCCCTCCCTTTCCTTTGTGTTATATTTTTAAAATCAGTAACTCTTTTTTTAAAAAAAAACCTTGTGCTTTCAACTGTTCCTTCTCCAAGGATCGAGACAGGAATGTGTGTGGTTAGAAATATTAATAATAATATTATAATTTTTCTGAATATGAGAATCACATGATTTCAGCACCAAGAGAACAGAAAGCTTTAACGGCATTACACAAACCACAGCAGTTGGTGGTAATTTACCCTAATTCTGTGAGTCTCCTCTGAAAACTTGTCTGCTTTCCAAACCTTTATTTAAAAATGTTTTCCACATTTGTCAAAATGCAGATTTTTCATATGGCTTGCGACCAATTTGGAGCTGGATTCCTATGCTTTTAATAAAGACAAGACAGGAAGGAATTCCAGTAGTCACGCTTTCCCTGTTATGGAGCTCCAAAAAGGGCAGGACCATCGTCCCTTGCCAGATTTCTGTCCATTGCGGTCGTGACAATCAATAAAATTGGTGGCCAACTGGAGCAGACAGTGTTTCAGCTGGCTTGTGTAACTTGCCTTAAACTGATTTGACCTAGAACAACCAATAGTAGCTGCCTCTTCAAAGGAGCATCTACACTGTAGGATTAACACAGTTAAACATCACTTTCATAGCCATGGCTCAATGCTATGGAATCATGGGAGTTGTAGTTTGAAGGCTAAAGACCTTGTAAAATGATTGCTCTCATGATTCCATAGTACTGAGCTATGGTAATTAAAATGGTATCAAACTGCATTAATTCAACAGTGTAGACCAGCGGTTCCCAATCTTTTTTTGACTGGGAACCATTTGACCAGGGACCAGACCACTCTCCAACATTAGTACCAAAAGGGTTACAAATCAGTTTTTGGTCAACTTTTGATTCGGTTTGATTATTTGTGAGGCTGATTCAGAAAACTGCATTGAATAGACTACATCAGCTCTGGTTTCTGATACAGAACATATGCCATCCAGTAGTCACCATTTGCTTGCCCACAGAAAACCATATTTAATAATCCTCAGCACTATAAAAGGGTTTTATGAGACCAGTCATTCTTGCAATGGTGCAACGATGAGGTTGCAGACCACATTTTAGTTCTTGCAGACCACTGGTGGTGCATGGACCACAGGTTGGGAACCCCTGGGTAGATGCATCCCAAGTGAAGCAAGGTTCACTGGTTAGTTCCCACAGGTCCCCATGGATCACCTGTGACCCTCTCAAGAAGGAAGGAAGGAAGGAAGGAAGGAAGGAAGGAAGGAAGGAAGGAAGGAAGGAAGGAAGGAAGGAAGGAAGGGGAGTGAAAGGAAGAGAGAGAGAAAATGAAGAAAAAGTTATGCAAGAAACGGAGAGAGAAGGAAGAAAGAAAGGGAGGTAGGAAAATCAGGGAAGGGGTTTAGAAAGTGTGGTGTAGTGGTTTGAACCACAGACTATGACTCTGAATCCACTGGGTGATTTTAGCCAAGTCACACTCTCTCAGCCTGAGAGGAAGACATAGACAAATCCCCTCTAAGTCTTGACAAGAAATCTCTGTCATAGGGTCACCTTATGGTCGTCCTAAATCTGAAACGACTTGCTCGTATTCAGAGCTGAGGAAACCACATCCTAGGCAGAAATGTACCTCATTAATAATAAATCATAAATGACAAAAGTCTAAATAAATAAAAAAAACTCCCCCTAAGCCCCATTGTTTCCACAGAAATTACCATGGGGAGACATCTGGCTTTCCTCTATGGTCAGATCTACTGTACGAATCATTGTTTTTCCTCAATTATGTAATTCCGTTGCCATTGGAAACGGGGGGGGGGGGTTGGAGAGACCCTCAGCAGCAGCATTACCCGCATTCCTTTCTTCATTAGTGATCTAGGTAAGAAAGCTGAACTGCATCTCTTTGTTGTGCATTGAATGAGTGCTGAGCAGAAACAGAGATGACACAAGCCAACATGTAGAAAATAGCATTTTTTCAGTTTGCCTCAGATTTACTGGGATATGATCCCAGTCCTTCCCAAAAAGACTTGGAAAGATTGTGAATTATTTTGCAAGTTGATTCAAGGCTTGGAAAATTATGACAGTTAACATCTAACATTTGACTTCCTGTATGCGTGCATGCTTTCAAGCCCCCTGTCAATGATGGCGACACCGTGAATGTCATAAAGTTTTTCTCAGGCAAGGAAAACTCAAGAGGTGGTTTTGCCAGTGAAAATCATGAGGTTGCTATAAGTCAACAGATGACTTGAAAGCACAGACATACCATCATCATGACATGCCAAATAGATTGCACATGTGCACATCCTTGCCAAGTTTTGAAGGCTTCCAGGGACCTTAATCTGGCTTTCATTCCTTCCACCATTCATTCATTCATTGTACGGAGTTGGCCACGAAGTAAGGTGACAAAGAAGTGAGATTCAGGCATTCTTCTCTAACCCTAGCACCATACCTAGCACTACGTATTGTTGCTGTATACCAGGCATGGGCAAACTTTGGGCCTCCAGGTGTTTTGGACTTCAACTCCCACAATTCCTAACAGCCTATAGGAATAATGGGAGTTGGAGATCAAACACCTGGAGGCCCAAAGTTTGCCAATGCCTGCTGTATATCTTCAATTAGCTTCTGATGTATGCCAACCCTTAGGTGAACCCATCATGCGGTGTTCCTGTAATATGTATTCAGAGTAAGTTGCCTGAGAGAGTGTGCCTTGTCCAAAATCAGCCAGTAGCTTTCCATGGCTGAGTGAAGATTTGAACCCTGGTGTCCTGCAGTCTTAGTCTACTGCTTTACCACACTGGCTCTCATATCACCACCAGAGTAGGAAGAAAAAAAGAAATGTAGGAATGTTTTGGTGTCAGTGGTGGGATCTTACAATACCTCTCTGTCTTAAATCTTAATTTGAGTCTGAGAAGAATTTGGGTGCTCATCCGACATATCGGCCCACTTGGCAGGCAAGGCAAGTTTTCCAAACCGCCAGAGTCCTCCTCCAAGCGCCAGCATCTCTCCAGCCAAGAGACAGGAAGACTCAGAGACAGAGCGTATGATGGCAATCTGCTCCACAGCTGGAAGAGAATCCTTCTCTTGACATCACTTAAGCCCTCCCCGTCTGCCACTGACCCTGAGCCACAATCCCACTCAGGGAGCACTTATGCTGCAGGCATCCGGGCGAAAAGGCTGCTGGAAAAAGGCAAGGCAGCCGTTGACATCTTCAGGGGAGAAGCGGGAGAGGGATCCAGCCATCTCAAGGCTCCCAGCTGCATCCTCCTGCCTGCCTGGCTCACAGATGACGAACGGCACTCTCTCCATCCAGGAGGCTTCCCCCCCAGGGACAGTCCCCCCCACCATGGACTCCCTCGTCTCCTCCTGCTGCACCTTGGTGACGGGGGCCTGGGTGCCCAAGGAGGACCAAAAGAACCAGCACGTGGTGAGAATGGTACAGATCGCGGTGTTGTGCGTGCTTTGCCTGACTGTTATCTTTGGGGTGTTCTTCTTAGGCTGCAACTTGCTGATCAAGTCGGAGAGCATGATCAACATGCTGGTGAAGGACCGCAGGCCCTCTAGGGACGTGGAAGTGGTGATCATTGAGACATAACCCCCTTGCAGAAAAGGCAGAAGGATGTGCATGCATTGCGTTTGGAGGAGTCGTCTATATCCTGCTGACTCTTTAGAGTTCCACGATGATTGAGGGAAAGTTGTCTGATCATTCCTCAGCTACAGCACTTTATGGCGAGAATGGAAATGGAGGCAGAGCGCAGCAGAGTTACACCAACTAAGGTGTGTTTGTTTTGGGCATTATCAGTGAACCTGTGCTCCTGCTGATCATTTTAAATGTTTTTTCTCCTTGGCTTGGCTAGATGCTCCCACATATAGAGACTTTATAACATCATTGCTACAAACCCTCTCCTGACTTTCCAGGCAGGTGACCTCCAGGACAAAGGCACACCTGTCTTGCACTTGAATCTTGGGCTCACAATCAGCAGCCAAAGGACATCACTCCTGTTCCCACTAAGCCTGCATCTTTTTGTTGCTTCTGTGGTTTGGGTCTGTCACAACAAAGACAGACAGCAGCCACACCCTGGAAAGAAGAAAAGCAGTGACAGAGTGGGAGAGAATGCACAGAAAGACACTCCAAGGGCCTCTGAATGGTTTTGAACTCGGCTAAGCTGGCAGCGTGCCAGCCTCACCCCCTCACTTCACCTAAAATGGAAAGTATGCGTGACCAACTCTCTCTGGCAAGAGATCCGTGGTTACTCTAAGCGCTGTGTCATTGTTGTTTAAATTTTGTGTAAACCCAGTGAGGATGATCTTTGTGTAGCGGCGGACAGTGATGGGTTGTTTACTGCGCTCTTTCCCAAACCTATTAAAAAGATACAGGAATTGCTTCCAATTTCTGCTGTTTCCACCTCTCAGCAGTCCCTCTGCGCTCCGATTCAATGTGAGGGCAGCTCAGGGGTGGAGCGTTTACAAATGGGTCGGGCAGAAGGTTGGGAAAAAGATTGGTGTAGAAAAACCATTTTGGTCTATGGCTCTGGAGACCAGAACAGACCGACCAAATTCAGAGTTGTCCCTTAATCAGATTCAGAAGGGAAGAGACAGATGCTCACATCTTCAAGTAACGTTCAACGTAAGCTACGAAGGCATTAAAAGACTGGCCGGGTGGGGATGGGATGAGTGATCTTATGAAGTTATTTTCGTTTCAATTTAGACTAGAATCAATTATTTATCTCTAAAAGGGAGTGGGACAGTTTTAAGTGGGAGAGCATCTCACACGTTCCCATCTCAGCCTATCTCGCCCTCTGAAAAAGCTATGAAAAAATGTTATGGAGACCAGAATATGCCTTTCTTTCAGAGACAGATTTGCACCTTTGGGAAATATTATGTGACTGGAAGAGGCTGGTATTATTCTGAAAGGGGGGTTATTACTTGTATTGCATATTGCCCTTTAAATTTCACCTTTGGTGGGGCAGAATTTTTGAAGTTTTTGTCTCATGATAGTTGTGAGAGAACAACTTCGTGTAACTAAGTGGTGGCAACTGCGCTGCCCTGTGAAAGGTGGGCTCCCATGGGGTCTTTAGGTAGCTTTGGCTCCAGGGCCCCCATTCTAAAAAAAAGCTATTGAGTTCATGATTTGTTTACAATACTCTTACTCACAGATTCAATATTCATGGTTTCACATATCTACACTCCAAAAATATTTCCCCATGGAAATGTTTGTGGGCATTTCTAAGTATTCTAGTGTGGTTCTGTGATATACTTTTGGCTGAAGTATAGGAAAACTATACACAGTTTCAGGTATCCATGGGGGTTCTTGGAACATATCCCCATAGGTATGGGAATCACACTTTATTTATTTGACTGATAACCTGCTTTGCTCTGAATGTGGGGCCCAAAGCAGCATATACTGCATGTAAGCTAATTTGAGTTTTTAAAAAATGGCCAAAAATAACTCCAGGTGATGCTGTTTAGTGTTTCAGACTTATCTCAGACCTATCTTCACTTCAAAACAGCCAAAAATTGTCCCATTTCCAGGATGTAACTTCTGGTTACCCTCAAGTAGCAATGCAATGGCCCGCCTAGAGAGGGAAAGAACCAAAAAGTGGTCCATTAAGTTTCTCTTTCATATAAAGGTTATGCTCATGAATGAAACTCGTCCAGCTATTTTCTATTTGACTAATGTTTCACCTATAGGTCTTGTGCCATAGACTCCTGACAGTATTGACTTCCTCTTTCAAAGGCGAAGAAGGATTCTGGCCAGAGTTAGGTGAAACTGGGGAGGAAACCAAAGGAAGGAAGGAAAGAAGAAAGAAAGGAAGGAAGGATGATAGGAAGAATAAATGTATTACCTGCCTCTCCTTGTGGCTCCAGGCAGTGTACCAGAGGATTAAAATAGCAAAACACTATTAAATTACAAGCAATACAAGACAACATTAAAATTCACAGGTTAAATTTGACTGGGTAATTCTGTCAGATGAGATAAATTTTCAGTTGTGTCTTGAACTTTGACAGCTGATTTATCTGTTGGATCTCTTCTAGCAGGTCATCCCACAGCCTTGAGGCAGAAAAGGTATTACCAGTTAAGTTCTGATTGGTTGGAGGAAGCATCTCCCAGAGGACCTCAGTATCCCAAGGGGCCATAGAATGTATGCAAGAAGGTGAACCTGTAGGTACCCTGGACCCAAACCATGTAGGGTTTCAAAGATCAAAACCAACACTTTGTACTTTGCCCAGAAACTAATTGGCAACTAGTGGAGTGACTGTAGTATAGGAGTGATATGCTCACTCCTAAATGTTCCTAAATGTGTTTTGGATTAATTGAAGTTTCTGAACTTGGTACAGAGCTAGCCCAATGTAAAGTGCAGCTTTGAGGTTTCCAGTGCATGCACCACCATCTTTAGGTCCTCCAAATCTAAGATGGGCTGCCAATGGCAAATCAGCCAAAGCTGATAGTAAGCTCTCCTGGCCATTGCATCTACCTGGGCTGACATTTGGAGAGTTGGATCCAGGAGCATTCCCAATTTGCAAACACGGTCTTTCAGGGGGAGCGTAACCCCGCCCAGAAATGATACACCTTCATCCCCAAGTAAGGACCCTCCATGACAAGCACTTGTTTTGTCTGGATTCAGCCCATTACCTCCTCCAGGCATTCATTCAGAAAAGACATGCTATCCTTAGCTGAGACCATTTTGAATGCATGGAAATATATATTTTGGATGTTATCAGCACACTGATAACACACTGATAAAACCCCACCCCATACCTAAGATTTCATATAAATGTTAAAATGCATTGGTGACAGAATGGTCCCTTGTGGGATGCCATATAACAGCTCCTTTTTGGAGGATCAGCTATCCCCAAGCGCCATCTGGAACCTTCTTTAGAGGTACAATCAGAACCACTGCAACACAGAGCCTCAGATTCCCGAAGCTCCTTTCAAGAAGAATACATGGTTGATGGTATCGAAACTTACTAAGAGATCTAGGCGCATCAACAAGGACACACACCCCTTGTCAGTGTTAAGACGGAGATCATCCACTAAGATGACCATAGCAGCCTCAACTTAATATCCTGCTCTGAATCCAGTTTGAAATGGGCCAAGGAAGTGTGTGCCATCTAAGACTGCCTGAAGGACTGCATAGGTGCATGCTTGCTTCTGTTATGCTTCTGCTGCTTATATGAATTAGATATTACAAAGACATGATACGGAGTTCCCACATATAAACAAAAATAAACTGTTTTATGCTGTCAGTGAAATTCCTCATACTCTGGAACAGAAAGCTATTGCTTGGAAACCCTTCATAACATGGTTTACGTGGTCAGTTCACTGCAGCAAAAAACAATAGCGTCCTGTGGCATCTGAAAGATGGACACATTTGTGACCTCATAGGTTTTTATGATCCACAGCATCAGGTGACATGAAGGATGACGTTCCATATAAGTATCTCAGTTCCTTGGTGTATATACAGCCATAGAAGCATTAGCCTTTAAGATGCCACAACAGCTTTATGTAGTTATGATTTAGGTGACACTTGGGCCAAAGGAACTGTGTGGACACACACCAAGAGATGTGGAGCTTCAGAAACTGCTCTGTGAAGCAAAGCTTCATTGGTCTACTTCATACTGGCTCAACTGTAGGGTTAATGCAGATTGACTACATTAACTGCTATGGCTCAATATTATAGAATTATGGGATTTGTAATTTGGTGAGGCACCAGCCCTCTTTGGCAGAGATAAAAACTTCAGCTCCCATGATTTCCATAGCATTGGACCATGGCAGCGAAAGTGGCATCAAGCTGCATTAATTCTGTAGTGTTGATGCTAAATATGTACCAAGACTGGGGACTTCTGGACCTTCAGGTTTTCAGCTGCAACTGTCAATATAGCCAAGCTGTGCTGTATGGAGGTTCAGGGATTTCAAAGGTTTCTCACATCTGGGCTTAAAAACTGTTATCCATCTTCAATCAACAACTTGACTATCCTTTGCCGGCGAACATGTTTGCCCCATAATCCTTGGTAATGTTTAATTAAATGATACAGAAAGCATTCTGTTTGCAGGAAAACCATTTCTGTATTCCCTACAAGGAGCAGTCAGTGAAATTGAGCAATTGGCAGGGAAATCATGAAGGATACAAGGACATAATTTCCTGCATCTTGTTTAACTAAATCAAAGAGAGAGAAAGATGAACTCTGATGTTGCTGGATAGGCAATTCCATAATCCAACATCTCACCCCATCCCTCTGAAGCAAGCCAGTCTTCCCATCATACTTTGGACCATGAGCTGCTGGCACTTTCCAAAGTAATGCTGCTGTTACTACTACTAATGACTTTTTAAAAGGCATCTACTCCATTAACAAGGGATAGGACTCCAAGTTGATGCTTTGAAATGAATTGGTTCAATGGCTGATCGATTTAAAGCTGCAGTTTCTAATCCGGGTGGCATACAGGGAGCACACAACTCCCATGTTACATCAGCAACCACTGGCTGCCTGTTTGCTACCGTGCACAATTCAAAGTACTGGCTTTGGCCTATAAAGCTCTAAACGGCTCCAGCCCTGTTTATCTGTCTGAATGCATCTCCCTTTACGAACCACCGCAAAGAGAGGCCCTGCTCTTGGTCCCACCACCATCACAGGTGCATTTGGCAGGGACATGAGAGAGGGCCTTCTCAGTGATTGCCCCCCTGTTATGGAACTCCCTTCCTGCCGACACTAGATCAGCCCCCTCCCTCCTGTCCTTCAGAAAGATGGTAAAAACCTGGCTGTGGGACCGAGCCTTTGGGACAGTGAAAGAGGGCAATAATGGGAAACCCACCCTGCTGATTGGAGTTTTGGTGTTTTGAGATGGTTTTAAATAACTGATTTTAAAGCAGATGTAACTGATTTTAGTGTTTTTGTATATTTATTGTTCTTTTATATCCCGGTATGGAATGCTTTCCATATATATGTTGTTCTCTGCCCTGAGTCCCCTTTGGGATGAAAAGGGCAGAATATAAATGTTTCAAATAAATTAATAGATCTATTGCTGATATAACTGTAGAGATGGAGGCTACATTGTGTCTGAAACAAGGTCACAAAAGTCCTCACCAAAAAAAAGAGTGGTGTGTGATGATTCCTCATGTGGGACACCATAAGGACATTTGCTAAAAAGAGTCACACGAGCCACCAATCCAGGCCATACAGCTGTTTATTTCCAAGGGACTGTCAAAAGCAATCCTATTCTGCAGCAATCGTATTCTATGTGTGTTCTGGACTTTTTATCTGCAGTGAAAGTATTTATGTGTTTACTGTATTTATACCCTGCTCATCTCACCCCGAAGGGGACTCAGAGTGTCTTACCAAAAAGGGACAAATTGAAAGTAAATCATTGGAAAAAAATTAAGAGAG